ACTCCACAGTCGTAATAGCACTGTATTGTAGGTGAGCAGGCCACGGATTCGCCGTGAGACGCCTTCACCCTGAGGAGCCTATCTGACATGTTATCTACCAATTTTTGTATGCCTAATCCTAGATACGTGCGTAATTTTTCGAGTAGCTTCTTCTGCAGGAGATGCATGGAATTGTGCCGATTTTCCAGGAACAAACACTATGGGCAGGATGTCCCATGGGTTTTCCATCGGATTTAGACCTCGCTAACAAGTAGACCATCCGAGTGAATCTTCATGGTAGGCTTCAAAGCAAGTTGAAGTCGGCTCAGTAACATGAATAACCAGCGCTGTACTGCTGAGAAGTATGCCGATGATGACGATTCTGCGTCGTAGACGGTAGCACGCGATGATTGAGCCACTTATTGGTAGTCGGTGGAGTCCCTTTCGTTGAACCGTGAAGACCACGTCTAGCTTGCCATACCAACTGTAGGTTGTGCAGCGCTACCAAGCTCATCTTCGAGAGGGAGATGGAATTTCCGCTCGAATCATCTTTGCACTAGTGCCTACCTATCTGGCCTGACTCGGAGAAATATTTTCTTTCTTCGAAGAACTACCTGCAAAACCTAACAACAAATAAGTCGTTTGGCATCTCGCCCCAAGTGCAATCTGTACGAAAAGTCTAACAGATTTACCGATCACGATGATGTGCTCTGACACCACCGGCTACCGTCTACGACGCAGAATCGTCATCATCGGCATACTTCTTAGCACTACAATGCGGTTATACATGTTACTGAGCCGACTTCAACTTGCTTTGAAGCCTACCATGTAGATTCACTCGGATGGTCCTACTTTTTAGCAAGGTCTAAATCCGATGGAAAAGTCATGGGGCATTCCTGCCCGTAGTGTTTGTTCCTGGAAAAATCGGCACAATTCCATGCATCTCCTGCAGAAGAAGCTACTCGAAAAATTACGCACGTATCTAGGATTAGGCATACAAAAATTGGTAGATAACATGTCAGATAGGCTCCTCAGGGTGAAAGCGTCTCAACGGCGAATCCGTGGCCTGCTCACCTACAATACAGTGCTATTACGACTGTGGAGTAGTTTGGAAAAATTTTAGTGAAGTAAAAAAATTGTCAAAATTTCTGCTATGTCGTATAATTTTGCAACGGCCGTTTTTTCAATTTTTGATCCTAGATTTCTGGAATTTGACAAATCTGTTTGAAGATTCTCTTTGTAGGTTTCTTTACACGCTGAATCGAATGGCATTAGCCATTTTCGTGCTGAGTTTCTCGTAACTTCAGAAACCCAAAATTTGGGGTATGTCGTATAGTTTTGCAACGGAGTGTAGTAGAAGTAGAACGCGATGATTGAGCCACTTATTGGTAGTCGGTGGGAGTCCCTTTCGTTGAACCGTGAAGACCACGTCTAGCTTGCCATACCAACTGTAGGTTGTGCAGCGCTACCAAGCTCATCTTCGAGAGGGAGATGGAATTTCCGCTCGAATCATCTTTGCACTAGTGCCTACCTATCTGGCCTGACTCGGAGAAATATTTCCTTTCTTCGAAGAACTACCTGCAAAACCTAACAACAAATAAGTCGTTTGGCATCTCGCCCCAAGTGCAATCTGTACGAAAAGCTAACAGATTTACCGAACACGATAATGTGCTCTGACACCACCGGCTATCGTCTAGGATGCAGAATCGTCATCATCGGCATACTTCTTAGCACTACAATGCGGTTATACATGTTACTGAGCCGACTTCAACTTGCTTTGAAGCCTACCATGTAGATTCACTCGGATGGTCCTACTTGTTAGCAAGGTCTAAATCCGATGGAAAAGTCATGGGGCATTCCTGCCCGTAGTGTTTGTTCCTGGAAAAATCGGCACAATTCCATGCATCTCCTGCAGAAGAAGCTACTCGAAAAATTACGCACGTATCTAGGATTAGGCATACAAAAATTGGTAGATAACATGTCAGATAGGCTCCTCAGGGTGAAAGCGTCTCAACGGCGAATCCGTGGCCTGCTCACCTACAATACAGTGCTATTACGACTGTGGAGTAGTTTGGAAAAATTTTAGTGAAGTAAAAAAATTGTCAAAATTTCTGCTATGTCGTATAATTTTGCAACGGCCGTTTTTTCAATTTTTTGATCCTAGATTTCTGGAATTTGACAAATCTGTTTGAAGATTCTCTTTGTAGGTTTCTTTACACGCTGAATCGAATGGCATTAGCCATTTTCGTGCTGAGTTTCTCGTAACTTCAGAAACCCAAAATTTGGGGTATGTCGTATAGTTTTGCAACGGAGTGTATAAACAGGTTTCATGGATTGCTTGATCCATAATTCGATAGCGGGGAAATGCAGAGGCTAGGAATAAGTTTTTAGCGGTTCTAGAGTGATGGTTGACTGAGACGAGTATGATGCGGGGCAATTGTTCTTCTGTTCACCTTGAATAGTTACCCTGTAAGCGACCGTTGCGTAGAGGCGTACTGTATGCTGCGCACGGTGACGTGCATCAATCCAAGTGATCTACGCCACGATATATGAATTATGGCAGCGCGTCGGTCGACGCACACGAAATAAATAAATAAATAAATACTAAGATATCACCAATAATGTCTAACGAGCAAATGTACAGTACTCCGAGGGTGTTACTGTTGCAAGTGCTTCTGTTGATATTGATCGGGAGGTGAGTATCCTTTAGTAATTGACAACGACTTACACTGTGCTCATTACCAGGTCTAATTGTGATGTGAACTCATAGAACTTACTTGAAATTTCACCATTCTGTATACTGATTTGATTATTACATTTGAGCCGGTTTTCAGATAGCATTGAAAGCGTCTGCGCTGCTGATGGGGAGTACTGCCCAGTTGGGTGCAGCTGCCAGGACACAGTTGTTCGCTGTTCGAATAAGGTTCGTGAAGCTTGAGAATTACTTGCACTTACAACTCAATTCGTCTTACATCAGTGGGTTCACTATTCGTTAAATAGCTTCGCTATGCCGAATGAGATTCAAGGAGATTTTAATAACTTTATTAGGCCGACGTTTCGGTGCTTTCACCTTCTTCAGAGCCTGGAAAAGTCGAAAGCCATTTAGGAAACTACCCGTCCAAACACTATTTCAACCTACAAGAATCATTCAACAGGGTGTAAACTACTAAGGCGATGTCATGGAAGAAGATTAGAAACGAACTTTTAGAAATGCTGACGAGAGAGGTCCACCTCGCTAATTGATAACCCTGAACTTCTCTAATGATGCATGTTGTTTAGAGCGTTTTTGGAACGTTTCTTAATTCTTTAATGGTGCCGGCATAAAAGGCAGGAGTACAGTTTGATGGCTAGCGGCTGGTACGAGCCCAATCAGCGTAACTGTTTCTACGACCTCTACCTAAACCTGCTGAATGTAGTTCAACGAAAAACGCCAAGATTTTCTCCCCCCCCCCCCTTCACTAGAAAATATTTCCATGAATGAGGTGTTTGGTTGGCAATGTGAGCCAGTTTTAAGTCTCTTCCGATGAGATTCCAGTTGGGATGACAGGTGTTCAAAGAATATTCGCTCAAAAATCTCAGGTGCCACAGAATCACAAAACACACATTCTTTAACGAAATGATTTTACTTGTGAATTTTCTCCTGAAAACTTCGATTTTACATGGAAAAATGTTGAGCACATTGAAGCTTGAAGTAACGTGACATTCTAGAGCCGAGGTGACTATGAGTACTCTCTCGGGCCTTGAAGTTAGTACAGGGAATTCCACGACATGGTCCTACTTAGATAGACTTTTTCAGGACCTACAGGCATTTCCAACATCGATACCTTTTGGTACTACAGAGCTGTTTTTGGATTCCAATTCCATCGATGAAATTTTGGCGCATCAAATCGGCAGATTGACTAATCTCGTGAAACTGTAAGTTTTTTTGCCGACTTGTCGATGAGTTCTAATGTCAACTGCTCTTTCAGAGATTTGTCCCACAATCGCATTGAGTCTATAGAGGACAACACATTCGCCAATTTAACAAAGCTGTCCACGCTTATACTCTCATATAATAAACTCAGGGTATGTCATATTACAAAAATTTTAAGTTGTTTTTTTGTACTTATTTCAGTTTTAAGAGTGTTTTTGAAAACCAGTTATTATTCTTCAGTGTCTTCAACCGAATGCGTTCTCTGGATTGCGTTCTCTTCGTATTTTATCGCTTCATGGAAACGACATTTCGCTCTTGCCGGAAACGGCATTCGCCAGTCTCTCCAATATAACTCATATGTAAGGAAATATCTGTTGATCTATGTGTGGAAAATCGAAAAGGAAGGCGTCAAAATATCGAGTCTTGCTGTGCTGCTACCAGTTCATCTGCAACCGATCTCTTAGGCCGCGTTCATAGTTCGCGACTCCGGAGATTAGGATAGTACGCGACAATGAAAAACATATGTATTGACGGGGAGATTAGGATAGTAGTAGATTAGGATAGTGCGCTGACAAGATTAGATATGTATTGATCTATTCGCTTGAAGTCGCCCAATCTACTACTCTCCAGCGATTTCAATCGATACGTATCCAATCTTGTCAGCGCAATCTCCTACTCTACTACTATCCTAATATCCTGTCGCCTACTATCCTAATCTCCCGAGTCGCGAACTATGAACGCGGCCTCAAGGTTCAAGACAAGTGGATGAGAGGGTGCGGCAAGGGACGAACTTTGAGAGTGGATAGGCCACGTGGGCCAACTGAACTGAATGTTCTGAATTTCGAAACTTCCCCGGAAATGAAAGCCGCTTTTTTTGAATTAGTTTGATCAAAGTCTTTGTCCAGACTGCTCGAGAAATACTTAAAGGCAAACCCCGAGATAAGCCCGATTTGTAGGTAGGAGGGAAATTGTAAGGTCCCTACCTACCTAGATCACTCCAGCTTCGTCGCAAAAGTTGCGCGGTTAGGGCGCTAATCCTTACGGGCCTGCAACCATCGACCCCCGTTGCAACGCTTCCCACCCACCTCGATATCGGCGTGCTCTCTCGAACGGCGTGATCTCTCGCGTGTTTTGTCTTCTTTGACCGCCCTGCCTCGCCATCGTTCCACATCCGACCTTTTTGAAGGTTAAGGCCTTAATTTCAGCGATCCCAAAGATTTCTCTAGCTTTCCTTTTCACTTTCAGGCCGTCCTTCACCTCATCACTACGAGGCGCTCTGATTACCGGTTTTATCGCGAGCCTTTAACCCCAGCACAGTTGAGTGTACCCTCCAGGCTATTTTCACCAGAGCGGCCTAACGTTCTTGCGCTTCTATCCCTCCCAATTCTTGCCATTCGAACCAGACAAGAGCAGCGTAATGTGATTCCTAGCTTATTCAACACTAACGAATCTTAATCACACGTGCGAATTTATCACGACGAGCGTCCGAGGCCTCCAATCGGGGCGCTGGCCTCCAATAGTCTTTGAGTGCAAGGGATTCGCTATTAGCGAATCGCTCGATTCGCGAAGTCTGACACCGGCCATGGAGGGGTGTGGTGTGGTTGGAACTTTCCATAATTCGTGATACTTATTTTAGTGCTGTCGGAAGTAATTCTCTCTACTGTGATTGTCGAATGGAGTGGTTTTCCCGATGGATCAAATCAAAGTTTGTCGAAGCAGGTATTGCCCGCTGCCACGCACCTGCAGCAGTTGCCAACCAGTTGCTTCTAACTGCTCGGTCACACCAGTTTCGGTATGATGAAGCCTAACAGCATTTGAAATTACGAGTTTTTTTTTCCAAAGTCGTGCAATGCTCCACACGTTCACACTTTTTTCGGGATACCTTGTGATAAAGGTTAAGTACTGGTCTACTACGCCACTCCGATAATGTCATCGGTGGCTGGCGTGGGGTGTGATTTCATAGGGCGGGTATACGACAGGAGGTCCGCCGCGGGGCCAGAATACAGAAACGCCGACGGGTCAGCGGACGAATCGCAGCGTGGGGCGTATTGTACATTCGCTTTAACTTTACTCGAACACTGCAGTACGTGTTGCTATTCGTCCACTGATCCGCCTACGTCTGCTACGCGACGAATCTCCTGTCGCGTGCCCCTTCAAGTCAGAGCGCAGCTTCGCTTCCGATGAGATCCTTTAAGACCGCAGCACAGGAATGAAGGTTGCACCGCAGAGCTGGTGCTATAGCAAACCCTGCTATGGGAGCACTCTACTCCTCAAGAGTTCTGCTTTACCTATCGAGGAGAAGGCGCATGGGGTATTGGACAAATGTATCATCCTTTCAAGAATAGTGCCATAGGACCTGGCCGCGCAGGGCGATGGATCTTGTGACGCGGCATTTCAAACGATCTCTCAACGATCAAGGCGACGCCCCATACTGTCCTAGCGATCCACATTCCTCTAGACCTAAAAGTGGTAGCTCTGCAGGTGATCGATCGAAATGGAAGGTTCTATAGCTTCGTATACTACGTTCTCTGAAGAAAGTCATGCCCGTTATAAAGTGAATTCGATCTTTTTGATTACAACTTATACTTGATTACAATTTTAACGAGCCTCAATGTCGATGACCACATGCAAGAGCGAGCTTTCCACAGTTGGGGTTATGTGCAGTAACCCACGTAGGTGGATGGGATAGGTCGTTTTTGGAGATTTTCCACTGCGATGTGCTCCACCCGGATATCAAACCTCAATGAACTGCTGCTGTATAGAGCTGAAAAGAAATGAACTAAAAATTAGAAGTTCTCATACAACAATTGTAAATAATTATTAAGGTGTGAAGGATCGATCCCAGCTGTGGTCGCCGCGAAGTGTGATGCGTGTATTACTCAACCGTGTAAAAATGGTGCTCGATGTGATACTATCAGCGGCCGAGACTATCGTTGTATTTGTACTGCCGGTTACCATGGGAAGAACTGCGAACGCGAAATAGATGCTTGCTTCGGACATCCTTGCCTCAACAATGCTGTCTGCAAGGTACATTTTACCGTGTCTCTGTGTGATTTACGGCCTATGATTTCTTTCCCATACAGTAGACGTCGTTCAAAAAACGAGCGCTTCTGCAGGACGATCATTCGCATGATGTAGTGGCAAATGCAGAACACAGGGGCAAGGTTTATCTTTGCTGCACGGTTCGGAAAACTGAAAAACAAGGCGCCATCACATGATACGGAGACATTGTGATGGCAACACATTCAAAGCCGCGTAAACATCCTTTCTTTCAAAAAAGGGACTAAGCCTCAGAAGGGGGAGGAACAACACCAGGCTGCGCGAGCAGTTCTCATTCCCCGAAGTTCCTGACCCTTCCCATGTTTAGCCCTAGCGGATGCCCCCGTGTCTTGCGATAGTGCCTAAGTGAAGCCTCTTTGAGAGGTGAAGTATTCACAACTTCGACTATCTTATTGTATTATAGTATAAAGCACGTTCACATCATTCGTCAATATGTTAGGCATCGTGTCTGAAGAAAGCTCTCTTCTACCCCATTGAGATGTGTTGTGTGTGGTCATAGTAGCCCACGTGCAAGGACAAAAGTTAAAGCAACAATCCCAGACAAGGTCGTGTTGAAGAACCTCTTTTGTGGATGAGATAGAGTAGCCTACGAGCATCACAGATGTGCCGTTGTCGCAGCTCGAAAGTGTGCGACAATGGTGCTAGGGCTTTACAAAAACATCTTAATCCCGGCTAACGTGAGCTTACGGACGAGATACATCGTGCGCACCCCATGATACGCAGCGTGGATCGGAGTTTCGGTATGCGGGGTTACTGGAGTCGTGGAGCAAGCGTGCTCAGAAAACTCGTCTAGCCCCGCCCCTCCCTTATTTCAAGGAAGAACAGGAAGTACTTGTGAATTGCTTCATCAGCGGCGCGTTCAATATGTTGCACGTACTGGTTTTCACCTCTTAAAACTGTGGCAGTTTCACGAATTTAAACCACATATGCCGATCTACTTTTTTTAGCAAAACCATCAAAAGTATTTCTTTCCCATTTGAAACACGGAACCCAATGGTAGAAATTCAGTGAAGATAGACCTTTTTGTTCCGTGTACGTTGCCTTAGATGTCCACAAACGTGAAAGAACCCCAACAGCAGGTCATGTTGGGGTCCGAGAAATGACTCGCTTACGATGAAGAGCCGTCGACTAATTTGCCGCTCTTTTTTGGTTCATGAGGGCGCGAACCTAGAATGATGTTTTTTTTTGTGTTCCATGCATGATCTCGTACAAAACACTAGGAACCGTTATGAAAAGGCGTGTGTTGTACTGAGCGAACTCCCTTACTAGATGCCAGCCTCTGCTATAAATCAGAGATGATGAACAGTTTTGAGGTTATTCAAGAAGGTCGCTTCAAATGTGTGTGTCCAAAAGGATTCAAAGGAGATTACTGCGAAACAAACATCGACGACTGCGAGAAGAACAAATGTCAAAATGGAGCAAAATGTATTGATATGGTAAGTGGATGGTCGTCCCAAGTCAGTTAAAATCCCATTTTTTGGAAAATAATCATGTTTGCAGGTTTTTTTTTCCAATCAAAATGACTAAATATTCTAGGTCAATTCTTATAAATGTCAATGTGGACCTATGTTTGCTGGCAAGTACTGCGAGGAGAAACTAGAGTACTGCAGCAAAAGACTAAATCCTTGCCGGAATGGTGCTAATTGCAAGACGGACGGTTCTGGCTACAAGTAGGTCTCTCCACACATTTCATTCACAAGTCTTAGCATCCTCTTTGGGACATCATTGAGTAAGGGGTGGGGGGCATGCATTATGACAGCCCATAGCGCCTAAAGTATTTCACTTTTTTGAAGGGGAAGGAAGCGACGGGTAGATATAGAAACGGAATCGTAGACGAACCCGGGGGATTCCCGCTCCCTGTAAAGTTGAAATTCTTGCACCCGGCAAGTGGGGCACCTGACAAGAGCGGCAAGAACGTGCGAACAAAGACAGCTCAGCGAATGAGTTGAATCGCGTAATGTAGCAATCAAGCGTCAAGTGAAACAGAATGTTTATAATACGCCCACATCGCACAATACGCGCTGCGACTCGTTCACTGACCCGTCTGCGTCTCTGCCTTTTTGTAGCGCAACAGGCCTCTTGCCAGGTACCCACAACTGTCGCAACACATGACCTCCTTCTGAGTGAATAAGTCCCATTTTGTGCTAAAGTCTCACGATTCAGGTGTGAATGCTTACCTGGTTTCACTGGACAGAACTGCTCAACAAATATCGACGACTGTGGCAACCACCAGTGTCAAAATGGTGCAATATGTGTGGTTAGAAGTTACAATTTTGCAACAGCTATGACATATCGAACGGCAGGCTCGCTGTGTAATTGTCTCCAAAGTGGCTCGTTAGAATTGAATTTGCAATTCTACATGCACTGTGGACTCCAATCCCCGACCCTTTCCTTTCCTTAACTAACAAAAACGGTATCAAAATACTTTAGTAAACAATAAAGAGAATGCTCTCTGTTCTGATTGTAATTCGATACAAATCAGTTGTGTGCTTCACCGAGAGGTCACAGGGGCATTGTGTCTCTAACAAATTGACGACAGCGCGAGAAACGTTATACCCCGCGCATTGCAGGCCATGTCGGACCGTGCGTATTTATATTTATTATATATTTCCCGCACCCTACTCGTCATTTTTTTTTCGGAAATGCTCGACTTTTTGTTTTTCGTTTTCAGTCCATAGATCAGATATTTATACAACTAGAACCTCGTGGTTCACGAAAAGCTTCAGCATAACAAAATTTTTCCAAACCGCGTGGAGTTTTCAATTCAGCATGAACTCACCCTAGCTCTTAGGAAACGAGTAGAATTGTGAATGACATTTGATTGTTTAGCCAAAGACGTTGTGAACGATAAATTGCCTAGTTGAAAGAAGTCCCAAATACCATAGTGAAAAAGCGCATACGGACACTCTTCATTAAGGATCTTAAATCCCATCCATTTTGTAGCCCTGAATGAGCGTCACTAAATCGAACTTTCTGTTGGAGTGGCCACTTCGTTTGTGCGTTTTATCATGTAAACTAACTTACTTAGTCACCGCTCTCTCAAGTTGATACTTCGAGCTTCCAAAACGGTGCCTTGTTGGACCGTGCGAGGGATGTGTATATCGTGGCAAACGCGATCGCAAAATTTCGTCGGTCCCCTATTTCCAAGAACACGACTTATTGTTAGGCCGTTTGAACACAGTGAGCACCCTGAAGAAAGCGTGAATTATGATGTTCTGCTGTAGTCACGTACAATGCGCGACGCATTGACGCGCTGAAGTGTGTGCTCGCCTCCCACTATTCGTTTTCTCTGCGCTCTCTCAACGAAGAGAGAATGCGTCGAGCCAACCCGCCAACTATACTGAGCGCCGTTCATGTAGGAGGTGGAGGATGGCACGCACGCCAGAGTGGCCTCGCGTAGTCTGGCGCGGCACCGGGGATAACCTCCCTTGACCTGCGTCGCAGCGTTCTGACCGCGTTCAGAACGCTGCGACGCAGGCCAAGGGAGTTCATCCAACGCTCATCTGGTTCTGGACTGCTGCCCAGGACAAAGGGGTTAGCCACATTGTGAGCATAAGAAGCATAAGGATTGTTGTTGCAGAAATCGCGTCGACGCGCATTGTACGTGACTACGGCAGGAACATCGTAATTTACGCTTACTTCGGGTGCTCACTCTGTCTGAACGTCTTACTCCCAAAAACACCAAAACTCGTATTGCCGTCAATGTGTTAAACACAAGCGTGATAACGCCGCTTGAAAGGTAGTTGCTGTTCTGATAACTGGGGACACAGTACATTTGCATAGAGCAGTAGAGGTGACAGTGACCTATTCATTCCAAATACACTGCCGTTAACATCCTTTCCGAATGTCGACAGTGGAGCGGCTTTTCAGGCATCCTCGTTTCCTTATTACGCCTTTTGTGGCGCATTTTCCGCCGCGAAAGCGTCACCAGTGCTCTATACGATTACGAAAACTATTCAATGAGCATTCATAGAATTTCAGGATGGCATAACGACTTATTCTTGCAAATGTGTGATGGGATTTTCGGGAGAGTTTTGCGACATACCGCCGCTGAGCAACGCTCTGCATCCGAAAACCTCACAATGTAATAGCCTTTCTTGTGGGCATGTAGGTTTCCTTCACTTATCAGCTTGAGAATTCTGGTAAGAGTGACTGGATAATCAGAAATTGCAATATAGGGCTCATGCTACACAAACGAGGAAATGAGTGAATACGAATGCCGGTGTCACGAAGGCTACACTGGTGAAAAATGCGATCGTATCCGTGCAATTGGATTTGAGCAGCCTTCTGCATACGTCGCACTGGAGCCGTGGGCTGTAGAGAACGGAAATCTGACATTCACTATAAGGACAACTAACCGGTTGGTTTTTTTCTTTTTTCCATTGTGAATTAGAGCATGTGTATTTCGTACGTTCTCAAAAATCTTAGAATAGAGCTCTCGCGTGAGTTTTGGAAGATTTCTGTTATCAAAGAAGACCAGCCCTGCGCTCCCCCAAGCTTACCCGTGTTGCTATATTTGCAGGCAACACTACACAGCTTGGACTCATAATTTATTAGCGATAACTCCTTTGACTTCCTACAACTAACTTCCTGCCGAGCGTGGAGAAGCCCGGCCAACGCTTGTAGTCGTCCTCGTAATAGCGGTAACAGCGGTAACAACGGCCTGCAGCCGATAGTGTCCCTCGGGTGTAGCGGGACACTAACTTACCAGCGCTCCGAGCGAACGGGACAGCATGCCCGAACATGCTGACGGGTGCTAGCAGGCACCCCTAGCCGTTCGCCTTCCTCGCGTTGCCCGACGACCGTCTCTCCCGGAGGAGACGAAGAGCGCCGACTGGCAGAGGCGACCCTTTAGGCCGATGTCAGACTTTGCGAATCGCGCGATTCGCTAGCGTCCGCGGTCGCGTTGCGGTACCAGCCAATTGAGTGATTCACTGGCCGCGACGCGACCGCAGACGCTAGCGAATCGCGCGATTCGCAAAGTCTGACATCGGCCCTATATAGGCCTCGGCTGGAGGCGTGGCCGGAGGCGGAGCATGCCCCGCTCGCCGGTGCATGCGCCGCCAGCGCGACCAACGGCGCGACAGGGGCCGGGCGCGCGGTGCGCCCACGACCGTCGTCGCGAACCGCGACAGTTGTTGCATTATAAATATCGCCGAGTTTAGCTTCACCCCACTCGGCTGTGTTCAAACATCCAGAGCTACTTAATCATTCATTCGAAAGAGGAAATAGTATATAAAAGCGACTACTCGTTGCCCATAGCATTTTATTCATTCATTTGATTTATCGATTATCATCACGAAGACCAGTTTATTTATCCACGCAGAAAGTGTCACTCCTAGGAGTAGTACTGTTTTCTCTCTGATCTTTGGGGTAGTTACTTTGTGTCTTTTCGACCATATTGCTTCTTCATGATCAATTTATCTTCTTAGCGTAATTTTTGCCTACTCTGAGAGCTACATATTGATGACGAACAGTTGAGGACGACGATTGCTGTGAATTCGCCTTTTGCAGAAGTAGCGATCGAAGTTGGAAGGGCACTTGTAACAGAATTGAATCTCTCCCACTGTTTTTTTTTCAATTCTACGTGTATTTTCCCTCAACAGCAATCACTCGTACTTACTTATGGTATCACTTCTCAAGAAGTGAAGACTTTGATTACTGATCTATCGTTTTAGAAGCGGTATGATTGCATACTACGGCGACAAAAGTTTCCTTTCTGCAGAACTTTATGATGGAAGAATAAAAATCGCCTTCTATATTGGCAACTATCCCACTAGTCACATGTATAGCTTCGTCACGGGTGAGTTGAAATTTTTGTTCATGCTTACCTATCTGTCGTGGTTCTCGCAAGGGACTGATCCCAGGTGGAATTGGCTATTTGTAAAGAGACGATAACGATGTGTTTCTGGAGCTGATCTCAAAACTGTCCCCAAGGGGAGCAGCACATCATTAGCGGTCGTGTTCACTCTGCATCGGGTATGAGAAAGAAATCTCTTGAAGGAATCTTCCACGGACCATGGACCAGTGGGCGGGACCGGAAGTTTTTGTGACGAAATGCATGGTAGGTACGGATCAGGGTCAACCGTCCGTTGGACAAAGTCCAACGGGGGGGTCGTATTTGGCCGACGCTAGAGGGGGGGGTCGTATTCGCAGGAGTCAACGTTGCAGTACGAAGAGGTTTTTGGGTGTAGATGACGAGAGGTGGTTTTCGCTATAAGGAACCTAATGTGTGTTGTGATGAAGCTCGCAGCTGTTGGCTCTTGCTGGGACCATCGAACGATTAGAATCAAGACGTTAGTTCTCGCGGACAGTAGGTGAGAGGTAAAACTTTGAGTGCTTCTTCAAATATTGAGCACAAGCGAGTGCATGGCGCACATCAGAGCAGAAGAGTCTACTGCGAAAGTATCCATATTTGACTGCTCACGTACACAAATATAATTCTAGAGGTGAACCAATGCCTTCAAACTGGACCTAAGTTAGTAAAAGAGTGACCACTTTGGTAGATTGACTGCTAAAGGGCTACAAGAAAAGTTTGGGAACAAAAATATTTGCCTGTCGGCAACTTCTTGAAATGGGTTTAGCATCTGTAATGAAGCACAAGCGTGCGATGTCACGGTATCATTAATTCCCGATAAAATTGAGTTTGAAGAGAGTTGTCAGTGTTTAAGTGTTGAAAACCTGTGTTTTCAGGAGAGTAGCTCCGAAAATTCATGAAAAAAAAACGGTCCAACGGGGCGATTTTTTGACTCCTTCAACTTTGAAGGAGTTCAAGTATTCGTTGGAAAGCTCTAACCTTCTTCTTCAACCCAGGGGACAAGAATGCAAAAGGTGGAATTTGAAGAAAGTTATAGCCATTGAAAGCCAAAAAACCTGGTCTTGCGAAAAAAACGGTCCAACGGGGCGATTTTTTGAAGGAAAGAGTTTTTGCAAAAGCTTGAGCACTTTTTAGAAAGAAAACAGTCTGAGCTTTCCAATTTTTCTTACCGCTCCTCATAATTCCTTCTTTGAAGAAAGTTACAACCTTTCAAAGGACGAAGTGCGCATTTCTGTGAATTCTTTGTTTTCTACCCCATAACTGACGTAGTTTTGAAGATGAGGCATAATCGTGGTTACCTTCTGAAACAAGCAGTTTTGTAGATTACAAATCTACTTAGCAATTTAAGAAATATTGATATTGAACAAAATTACGCTTATTTGAAAGTCAATAGTCTGTTTCTCGCTGCCCGCGCTGCGCCGAGGGGAAGATTGCGCGCGCCAATGCGAATGCAACGCTCCCGTGCTCTAGAGCGTTTAGAATCAGACGGCAAGGAGGTGAGCGAGCAGCCGCGAGCGCGCGATATCAATCGGTCGCTCACTTAGCCGTCAGGTCAACCTAGCATACTGGCGATGCGCATAACATCATCCACTTTGTTTGTGAATACTAGCATAAGTGAAGAATAACCCCGCGAAATCTAGGAATCGTTAATCAAGTTAGGAAGACTCGTTCAAGTGAAATCAGCGTCTCAAGACTCATCGTTAGTCCTTTATGAATGGTCACTTCAACCTTCCTGTTCTTTTTGGTTGTGCATTGGTTGAAATGTTGTTTAGCTCGCTTTCAGTGAATGACGGTTTGCCACACCGAATTGAAATTCTCGTCCAGGGAAAAAAGTGCTCACTATCTGTCGACAGCCTTGCTGTTCAGTCCATTGAAAACGACGGAAAATTGGAACTGTTTGCGCTCGAGACAAAACAGTACCTCTACATTGGTGGACTACCCCCTGATCGAGCAGCTCGTGTTAAGGAATCGTTCCATGTCAAGGAATCTAACAGTTTTACAGGTACTTTATATCAAACATCAAAGGAGTGCAGAAAGGGAAACTAGCGTTTCTACCGAACATTTTCCAAAGAACACCTTAAGGGCAGTGACTGCAACTTGAAGGCGCATCAGGCTCATATATGTTGTTGTGCTGTTGTTCAAAGTGGGTCTTCGAACAAAAAGTCGTAAACCTAAGATTTAATTTCGATTTCGAGTGGGCTTTTCCTAGAATCGTGTCCGGGGTACCCTCGTCGAAACGGCACTTTCTTGACCTCAAGCTTATTCACCGTTTCGAGGAGCTGAACGCGGCTGTTACAAGGCTTCTGTCAACCAAAGGGTGAGAGCGTAGCTGGAAAAGCACACACTTTGTCTTATTGGGACTAAGCCTTTTGAAGGAGATAAAGAGGAGATGCTGTGATAGTGTGCACTTGTGAGAGCTCCCAGACATCACTACAAAACGCTGAACCGCCAAGCCTCACGGTTGACAGAAGTCCTCGGACCGAGCACGATTGCGCCTTTGATTTGGCCCACCAAGGACGAGCACCCTCCAGACATCGTGTTCACTGCCTTCAAAATCAACGGCTAGAAACTTCCAAAGGAAAGAGAAATTCGAGGGCACTGGGGGGATCTGCCATGTCACGTACAGCGACTTACCCAATATGGGCCAGGCATTCCTAACACTTACAGTTCTCCCTTAGAGCGAATTTATATGAGCGAAGCTAATTAGAGCATTCCATCGCAAGCTACGATGAAATCGCTGCCGTTGAATATGAAATTAAAGGTGAAAAACAGCGGAAATGGAGTAAAAACCATAGGAAACGGCCCTAACTCACGCATCGAGACCCACTCCGTCTGTGAAATTTCCACACTGAACGAGCCAGCGACCAAGGCCTAGGTCATTTGGGTGTGTAGCAACAGAATCGTCCGGAGACCCGCGCTTGTGGTCGCGGCCGCGACGTCGCGACTGTAGTGGACGAGTCGTGCGGCGTTCCTTTGAATTTCAAAAGGACGCTATACCGACTTCTCCCTTAGACATTTTGGTCAGTGCCATGCTACTTCGTTTTCTGTTCCATACTGTTTGTTTTTATGGTTATGTGCTGCGGTCCAAACAAAGCCATAGGTGGTCTTTACAGTATTGCCCACTATCCATTCAGGGAACGTCACTATAGGGAAACTCGCTATTGTATTATTCGAAATTCGCTATTATATCGCTGTGTGCCTCTACATCTACAGTATTGATATTATTTAGAATCATAATCAGAAGATTCATAATCATAATTCATTTCATAATTCAGATTCATTCAATTTCATCATTTCATAATTTAGATTCATAATCAGAATCAACAGAATCGTCCCATGGTCCACGGCCAAAAGGGTTAATGTGGACCGCAGCAAATCTGTCGCTCCAATCGAATAGTCTGTTGTTGCCGCGCCCATCCAAAAAGTGCCGCATTACGGCGCCGCGCAAGTAACCGCGCGCGACGGCGCCACTCCCGGACGATTCTGTTGCACGCTCTCCAGGTCATTTGGACGTCCTAATCCTGACAGCCAGTATCAGGCCTACAAAACTACACTTTAGATGGGAACGCATTGAAACCGAACTAAAATATATACCAGCTGAACTGAATGTTTTTAATGAAAAGTGAGCTATGATGATGATTGAGAGCATCTTTTGCTATTATTCATACACCTAGGGGTGTAGCTCTTCACGCGTGTGACGGTTACCACTGGTCACCTTGCTACATGGCTTTCGTGGTGGAGGCTTCAGGGCGTGCCCTTCGAGACAAAAGCGCCACTCACAATCAGCACCCCCTCAAGGCTTAGGCTTCCTTTACACTAGGCATATTTCTTCCCTTCCCGTACTCATATAATGCCATCGAATCTGTCTACTCTTTTCCTTGAAATGTGTATTCAGGATGCATCAGCGATGTTTTTGTGAATGAGGTGGCTGTAGATTTCGAAAACGCTGTGGAAAAGGAGCGAGTCACTGTTGGATGTGCTCATGTTGTTGATCTCTGTGCTGGTAAGTCTTTACGGTTTTCTGTATTGGTCGTATTAAAAGCCGTAAAGATTCCGCTGTTTTGAAGGAGTGGTCTGTGGAGAAGGTCACTGCGAAGCAAACTCAACATATAGCAGAGGCTTCAGCTGCCGTTGTAAGCATGGCTACACCGGAGAATCTTGTCAACAGCGTAAGAATCACCAAAAATTGTTTCACTTATTTGTTTATTTCCCCCCCCCCCCCATCAAATAATAGCGCTGTGGCTACATATACAGTCTAAGATTGGGAACTAGTTTACCATAATTTTAAGCGTTAATTGGGGAAAGGAACCCTAAATTATTGGCAAACTTCTGTCAACCTCTGTTCACAGAAAAGTTGAAGGCGCGAGTCGGAACTAGGTTCCAAGAGCCAGTCTATCTTACAGTGAGAATAAGGGTCCCTAAGCGCAGGAGGTGCGACACTGTCGCAACTGAAAAGTGCGGGGCAACGGCGCTAAGGTCTTACCGTTGCGGCAGACGTGGTGCTGCGCCCTCTCGCGTTAGACGTACTATCTCGCGTTTTCCCTCTCCTCGCAGCGCTGTGTCTCTCCGTCGTACCACGGCCGGCCTCTAAGGGAAATTTAGTGTTTTCTATGGTGCTTTTTGCTTTTTCTCCTCACTAATGTTCCTCATTGCTCCCTTGCCTAATTTTCACGAAAAATAACGCATCCATAATTCCCGACTCGTGTCCTTAAGGCAGACCGCTTGCGACTTTAAGATTCCTGCTCAATAATGCAGTGATATTCATCAAAAGAGAGCAGTTTTCGAAATATTATCAATTTTATACTATCAGCTTTTCCCCACATTCCCCACATGATGTAGAAGGAATAGATTAGAGTCCGAAGAACCAAAGCTCTGCTTGTAGGAAACTAAGACAAGATTCCTCTGGAATTCATCTGAGGTGTTCGTCTTCGCCCGACTGTCGGCAATCATAATGATCAGCTTTTCCGGCCTTCTGCATTGTCTGTTGATTTTTAGGAGTAATCACCTGTAACAAAGAAAAGTACCGACGTTATCATGTTGAAGGCGATTGCCGATCGGTGGACATGGTGAAGAATGCTGAATGTGTTGGGTTTTGTGGAGACGGCGAAGTATGTTTGATGATTTGTTGCATGCCAATATTCTATTCTACAGATTCAACTAAGTTCTTTTGTTTCAGCACGATTGCTGTGCTGCTATAAAAACGAAAAGAAGAACGTTGAAAATGTTGTGCCGTAACGGTCAGACGTATGTTTTCTTTTCCTACGTTGAGATGTGCTGAACTGGAGGCTCAATTAAGCTCACAATTTTTGAGGTGCCCAGCGCGCGAGTAAATTGTATAGGCAGTGCGGTGCTTGTAACAGCAGTGCGAAACGCTTAGGTTTTCCGGTTATGTCAGGTTGACGCCAGGGCGCGACGGTCACGTCCATTTTTGCGCGACCAATTCGCTATGGCGAGGCGAATTCAAAGGTGGAGTTTACGAGAAGTTAGCCCATTGGGATTAAGGTAGCGGTGGCCAGAAATGCCGGAAGAAGAAAAAACCACGAGAAACGGCGGAGACTGAGGAATCTCATCAGTGCCCTCTTCTACAATGACGTTTTCTCTACTAAACGGCTAGAATCAGACGACGAGGAGGACGTAGACGGAGTGAGCCTGCTGGACCGCTGGAGTATGCTCTTCGCTGCGATACGCGCATCGTCTGGTATGGTCATATAGCGCGATCCCATTGGCATAGCGTACAGGCCATGATTACAGCATCCTGCTGTGGCCGGACAACTCGTCCACGCAACACATTGTGCTTGCCTTGGCATCAGGCCAGCGAAGCTATCCGCTCTTTTTTGAATCCTTGGGACTCAGCGAGATTTTTGAGACCCAAATTATCATCGATCAATTACTGAAGTCTGGTAGTTGAGTGATACGGACGAGTTGTCCTACCGCAGCAGATGCGCCTGTGCGCTCTAATGCCAATGATATAGCGCCATATGACCGCCTCCCGCATCGTCCCGCACCCTTAAGGTTGGTTTTGAAAGTTAAGCGACAATGACAACGATATCCAGCGTAGCCATTTTTGTCGTCGGTTATCGAGGGTCCTGATCACGAATATGATATCCATTTTTGGCGCTGGCGCCAAATTGGCGCCATTTGGCGCCAGCTGGCGCCACACTGATTATCACCAAATTCGCTGTAAACTTCTGAATAGGGGTTATTTGGGGCCCTGATCACGAATATGACACTCGTTTTTAACATTCGTGCTGTTTAACGCATATTTTCTGCTTTTCTAAGCTTTCTCACCTATAGCGCCTAGACTAAGCTTAGGGGAGGGGAGTGAAACTCCGGAGTGGGTAAACCACGCACCGTGTGGCAAAAGTTGGAGTGTGTTAGACCACAGGGGAGTGGCCTACTCACTTTGGAGCCCTCCACTATTCAAAGGCTTAGTCCTGATTGCGATCTAATTAGTGCGAGGGCGCAGACGAGCAGGAAATAGGCGCCGAATAGCGCTAACAACAAAAACGAATGTCATATTCGTAATCAGGACCCCAAATAACCCTCATACAGAAGCTTACAGGATTTTTTGTACCCTCGGCTTAGGGGAAGGATAGGATATGGCCCCTGATGTGCGGGTCACCAATGGGATGTTGTACTTGTCTTGTCACCTTCATCTTATAACAGTTCTTCTTAAGATTTATTTACAGGAAGACGACTGTAGCAACCATCGTTCGGAAATGTCAGTGCCAGAGCACTTGTCGTGCAAGAACCTATCGATCTATATTGAGGAGTCGATAAAATTGGATTTTTTTCATGGTTATTGAATATGTTGGGTCGAGTCGTAAGTAACTTCCGCATTCATGAACCAAAGCGAATGCGAACTACCTTGAGAAATCTTCCTATGTGAAACTTCTAATAATTCAGATTTCTATCAAACAGTTTTCTGCAATGCTAATGGCTGTTAAACTTAGCTAATATTAGATTGGAGCATGACTTACGTCGACTTTTTCTCTATTCCTTAAGGAAATTGATACTTTTGTGGATTCAACCATCTTATTAAATTTCATAGAAAATTTGTGCAGCAATGCTAATCTTAATAGTCGCCCTTTGTTCTAAAGTTGCTTCAAAGATTGAAAAATCTGGGTTTTTTTTTGTTGAGAAATGAAGGTACGCCGGTCTGCAAAACCTAAGGATGGGAGCAACTCTCACATGATATCTCTTTGGAAAACCAGGGTAGGATGATTGTTCGAAGAGGCCATATGTAATGAGATTTACACTGGTGAATGCGTTTTTGAACGGTGACCTCTTATCTGCTTTCCAAATCTGCCAGGCGATTTTCTGAACGGAGTTAAGTTGAGAATTTATCCATTCATCCATCAGCCTATAATCGAAGCCTATGTAGCGTTGGGATGATATAAGTCTCATTTTTTCACCCACATTATTTTTTATTTTGTTATTATTTTCAAATCTTTAGGGTTGCCGTCGTCCAAATAGGTCAACCCTGGAACTACCGGCTATGGATATGTAGCATCAATGAGTGACTCGCCCACTATTTCAGTATTTCGAATTTTTCTAGACATCGGCCCCAGGGATTGTTGGACTCTCTGAGCACAAATATCACATTCGTTTGCTCAAAAACGGCTAAAGCGACAACGGTTCTAGGTGCAACGTGTTCCTACTTCTTAACTCAGTAGACCATGCGATCCTGTTAGCTCGTGCATCTTCACGTCTCGTCACCTAGCAAATGTTCTCGCCGAAGAAACGATTTCAACGGGATGACAGAGACTGTCCGTCGGATAGAGAGGCCATACTTAGGCGATTGCCGGTGCAACTGTTAGGCCGATGTCAGACTTTGCGAATCGCGCGATTCGCTACTAGCGATTCGCGCGATTCGCTAGCGTCCGCGGTCGCGTTGCGGTACCAGCCAATTGAGTGATTCACTGGCCGCGACGCGACCGCAGACGCTAGCGAATCGCGCGATTCGCAAAGTCTGACATCGGCCTTAAAGCTGGAATTACGTGCCGTACATTCCTGATAAATACCTTTGCAACTGCAATTGGCGACTGATGTGACCCATTCTTGCCTGTAACATAGCGTAGCGATCGTGTGCTGTTGCGGTTGTCGTGGTTTATCATCTACTCTTCTTTGGGCAGCAGTGGCGGTGGCTCATCTCGCTCCTCATACACGAGACGCAACGTTGTGAGCAATACCAAACTCCCGACTGCACTCGTATTACATCTTCTTTTTCTTATTTCCTAATATTTTTCCTCGGATGAAGTCACCCCTGCCACCCCTGGAACTCGGTGTAGTGAAAATAACCACCACTGCCCACAGTAATTTCTTACCACTTATTACACTACCTCCAATCCAATTCCATGAAACTCCTAATCTTTCGTGGCCAGCCCAACATTGAAACCGACCGCACGATATGAAGGACCCAGTACACTGTGCATGATTGGGAGAACTTTAGTATTATCTCGCAAAATTTCATCCCTTTCCATTAAGTTGTTATCTACTTATCTTATTTAATCCACCTCGTCCAAAGGTTTTGCACGGAAGTGTACAAGCCCGAAGAAGAGCGTCGGTGAAGAAGAAGCAAAACGAATGACAAAAACACTGACATCAAGGAACTCTCTTTTGTGAGCATGCATAGACTGAACGAAGAAACACAGGGTGCCGGGGTGAGAGCACAAAGTATGTGCTTGATGCAGACCCCCTGCCATAAATACCGTTGCATTGCCACAACCGAAAAGGTTGACACTGTAATGACAAGGCCCAGCTGCCTTGTCGCGCCCATTCGTTTCGTGACTGCATAATTTTAGCGCATGCGGTCTACGATGCTAACGGGTGGTACTGACATCTAGCTTCTAGAAAGTGCTTTTAATTCTTCTGGGAAAATGTAATCCTTGTTCTCAACATACTTATTGGTAGAACTGTCAACCAAAATCAGTGTCAAAATTGTTTTTTTTTTGTTGTAGGCGAATTTGGCTTTGAACTAAAAGAGACAGCTATCAAAGCCACTTGCTGAAAAAAAATAATGTGCGGAAAAAATCGACATGAATTCTGCATGCATCACCTCAATATATCCGTTGTTTCCATGCTTCTATTTGAGATTCAGGCTCATCGTTTCTGGTAAAACTTAAATCTATGACATCATCACATAGTATATGTTCAGTATAATCTAGCAAGGGAACTGAATGTTTCGAAATATTTTCAGTGAACATATCGTTCCTCTATCTCTTGTTCTGCAGGTATTATTGATCATGTTCAGAGCTGTGCATTCCAGGTCAACCTTCACAGAAATAATATCATTAGGAAAGTGGTTGCACAGTCCAGACCGATAAGTCTTATTAATGCGAGACCGTGGATCATATTTAAATATTGGTAGTCAGCGATGGAAGTTACTTACGACAAATTTCAGCCTTCTTCGTTATAGTTATTTGATAAAGGATTTTCCCGATAGTTCAATATGTCTGAAGATTGCCATTTGTTGCCATAACAGCCCAAATTTCGTTCATTCTGAGGCGTTTTACTGCTTTCTATTTGTTCACTAGTCGAGAGCATTTTTTGTTCATTTATTGACCGTGATATTATTTTATGAATGAAAATATTTTATATCCAAACATTTATTATGACAATTGGGAAACTTCAATATATTTATTATGACGGCTCAACACTTCACAATAATTGCAAAAGCACCATTCTCGCTGGAGAAACTTCAACAGCTAGAGCCCTCTTTATGGAAACTTACGCGAAAAATTACTTGCATTCTTTTTCACATGAATATGTCAGTTGTGATCACTGGAAACAGCACACAAAGTTTCACGCATTCGGTTTCCGAAGAGAAACAAACGTACAAAACTACACTCTATGGACAATCGAAGGTAAAGGGCGGAGCCAAAGGCGGGGCATGGAAAGAAGTCCGCCTTGGGCGGCTACGTATCAGGCGACGCAATGAAAGAATCGGGTTAAAGCGTGCGATTTTGGAGAGTAGAGACAAATCGATCGATAGAATAGGATGCAGTAGAAGTGTGAGATGTGAATGCAATAAGTCAAAAGGCCAGAAAGAGTTTCTAGTGAAGGCACTCCAAGAACCAAGTGGAAGCATTCCCGTCGCCAGCATTTGTGACAGATGTCCGGCGGTACTTTGAACGCGTAGCAGCCCTTTCGATTTTTCGAATTTTTTACCAAAACAAATGCAATTTTTCTGTTCTTTTCATTCTTATCGTGGATGATGAGTCTCAAGCCAGTGATTTATGGGATAAATAGAATCGTGTTTTTCACTAAAAGATTCCTTTAAGTTTGGAATACCTGGCGTAATCCTAAGAAAGTAACGTTCCAGTAATTTGCTGAAGTCTCGTTCCACGTCCTGCTGTCAAATGCAACTAAAATCAAATCCATCTAGAAACTATTGAAAATTTACCGTGTATTCGAATATGTCTTCTACTTCTATGCATGCACCACCATAATCAACATATCGTCAATGCGAGGGTAGGTGTTCAATGTCTCTCTTGTAGAATTCCATAGAGTTCTGATCGAAGAAATATTGGATGTCGATTTTGACTTTATGGTGATTCAAGTGAGATTTCTTCTCCAGAAGGTGATTGAGAGAGGAGAGCGGATAGTCGTTCGTTGACGCAGGATTAGTGCTACAAGGCGGAGCTAAAAGAACTGACCGCCCGAGAGTCTCCAATTTTTTAGGAATTTTCTTAGCAAGGTGGACTCGAACGACCTCAAAAATAGATTTTGTCTTACTTTGCTTTTGAAGGCGTTGCCATCAAGCTGTCGACGATTATCTTCATCACTGACACTGGTATTAGTTGGTGCCGGTTCCCAGCGCAAAGCCCCTCGTATTCCGCCAACGACTCAGGAAGTTCGAATTCAGAGGGAGTTGGGTTTTTGCTGTCAGAACTCCCGAATCGTTTGAGCAAAGCTACTGCGGCTTGTGGATTTGTTAGCACACTGCACCCAGTCCACATCACCAATGAGTATGATGGATGGTCATTCGAAGGAACTATGGGAAACCAACAGGAACATGATGATGTCAGATCGGGTTTAGAGCTGATTCGGGCTCAGAGCATGTGAGAGACAAATTCCATATTTTCAAACCTTAGCGACTTTATCGACTTGTCTCAGTACTCTGCCTTGTCACACCAAAAGCGCTCTGACAAATCACTTTGTTCAGATTCCTTTAAAAGCGCCGGATAGAGCATCGAGATTTGACAGTCACGAGGTGGTTGGAGTGTGGACCTCTTCCAAATGAAAAAAGGAAACCTGAGTAGAGTAACCACCTGTGCAACGTGGATTGAGAGGTCGCGCCCTCAACTATATTCTGACTAATGTTAGCTCGCCTATCTGACGGGCCACCTTGTTTGCTTATTGCCTTCTTTAGCTAGGATACAATTTCTCCACGCACCAGGCTATGTGATAGATTGGGATCTCCCACATAGGCTGGTTCGTGGAATATCCTAATCGGCAGTCATAAAGAAAGAGGCCCAGATATATTCTTCTTGTTCTTCTTATTCTTCAGCGTCTGTCCCGCTTGTAGGCGGGGTCCGCTTTTCTGATGTGTTGACGCCACTTTTCCCGATTAAATGCTTGATCGGGGTGGATGTTAACGACTTCAAGTCTCGTGCAACGTATCGAGCCATCGCTGCTTCGGGCGTCCCCTAGGCCGCTTTCCGGGCACGTCAAGGTTGAGACCGATCTTACGGACACTGTCATCTTTCGCGCGAAGGACATGACCATACCATCGAAGACGGGCTTCGCGCATCTTGTCGACAATTGGAGCCACACCGAATCGCTCTCTGATGACATCGTTTCGAATGTGGTCTATCGTGTGACTCCGGCTGTCCAGCGCAGCATCTTGTCTCCATCACACTGAGACGGCTTCGATCTCTTTAGTCGTAGGCCAGCACTCAGCACCGTAAATCGCGACCGGCCGGATGACGGTTCTATAGATCTTAGATTTGAGACGTTCTGGCATGTTTTTATCGCAGAGAACGCCAGTCATCGAGCGCCATTTCGACCAGGCTGCATTCACGCGAGAATTCGTTTCAAGACCAGGCTGCCGTCAGACGCGATTGCTGATCCAAGATACTTGAATGATGTTGTACGTGTGAGCTCAGTACCATTGATCTTAATAGAGCCTAACTCACTCGAATCGGTGGTCAAGTACTCAGTCTTCTTGACGTTCAACCTGAGCCCGAACATAGCTAGACGGTCGGACCAGGTTTGCACCTGTTGCTCGAGCGTGCTTTTATCTTCGCTAGCGAGCATCACGTCATCAGCATAAAGAGCGTCCATGGAGCCGGCTTCTGGAGATCTCTGTAATGGCATCCATGACGACAACAAATAGGAGTGGGGATAACGCAGAGCCTTGGATGTACCCCGACAGAGATGGGAAAATCCATCGATGTTCCTGCTGCCGTTTGCACTCGGCTCTTTGGACTCGAGTAAAGGATGCGCACCCACTCGACGAGCTCTTCAGGCACGCCATGCTGTCGTAAGGCATACCATATAACGTCCCGCGGAACGCGGTCGAATGCCTTCTCCAAATCTAGGAAGGCAAGGTGCACCGGTCTTTGTTTCTCGCGATGCTTTTCTAGCAGAAGGCGAGCGGCGTGTATGGCATCGATAGTGCTGCAACTAGCCACAAAACCACACTGGTTGGTGGTCAGCTCGACGATGTCCCGGATACGGCTATCTACAACTCGCTCAAAGATTTTCATGCTGTGCGAGAGCAGGCGAATTGGACGGTAGCTAGTGCAGTCTCCAGGACTGCCCTTCTTCTTCCAGATAGGAATCGTCGTGCTCTGTTGCCAGCTCTCAGGCACCTTCTTCTCTGCAACGATCTGGTTGAAGAACTCCGTCAACCATTCTGCAGGATTCCAGCACTTTGATTTCCACAAGTCGCCGCTAAGTCGTCAGGACCAGTTGCTTTGCCTGATTTCATCTTCTTCATGGCCGTGATGGTCTCCTCCACGGTTATCTTCTGAACCGTGTACTGGCGGAGCGCAGGGGATGGCGGGATGAGTAAATTCGACTGTTGAGATGTTTTCGAAGTAGTCACGCCATCGTTTCAGTGTTTTCTTGCGGTCCGTCAAGAGGTGGCCATTCTCGTCATTTATGCCGAAGAACTTTTCTATATCCTCGGTCTGGCGATGGCGGGTCTTTGCAAGTCGGTAAACGTACCGCTCACCATCGCGCGACTCGAGTTTCTTACTGATATCAGCAAAATGAGCTGCTTTCGCGGAAGCAACGGCCTTCTTTGCCTCTTTCTTCGCTATCTGATAGCTCCGCCAGTTCTCAGCTGTCTTTTCGTGAAGAAATGCGTGGTACCGCTTCTTCTTTTCGCGCACTTTCTCTCTGACCTGGTCCGTCCACAGCCACGTTTGCTTGTCAATTCTCCGCCGTCCAGGCTTCGTCATGCCGAGCTCGGATCGAGCTATCCGAGTTATTTCTTCGGCAGCACCTTTCCAAGTTTCGTCGACAGTCGTTACCGCTGGTAATTGAATGCAGGAAATCACGGCCGCTTCTTTTTCCTT